ATGATGATGACGATAATGATGATGGTGGTGGTGGTGATGTTGATGATGATTATGATGATGGTGATGGTGATGATGACGGTGATGATGTGTGGTACATGTTGACATTGATGTTGATGTTGCTGATGATGATGACGATGATGATGATGATGATGTTGATGTTGATTCTGATGGTGATGGTGATGGTGATGGTGACGGTGACGGTGACGGTGATGGTGATGATGGTGACGACCACGAGGATGATGACGGTGACAGTAACGGTGACGGCGGTGGTGACGACCACGATGATGATGACGGTAACGGTGACGGTGACGGTGATGATGATGCTGATGATGATGCTGATGATGATGATGATGATGGCGGTGATGGTGCTGGTGATGGTGTTTGTCATGATGACGATGATGAAGAGGATGACGATGATGCTGAAGAGGGCGAGGACAGTGATAGTGGCGGTAATGGTGATGATGGTTGTGAGTACAGTGTAGTGATAGTTCTTGGTAATGACAAGCTACCAGAAAGAAGACGATGAGACAAGATTGACGAATTCCGGGACCATCTGCAGCAAAGGACATGCTACTGGCACTGCTACTGGGAATGGTACCGCCCGTGAAGAGAATGCTGTCGGTGTAAAGGTGCGATTGCTGGCCAGCGATCGATGAGGCAGCAAAGGACTGAAGACGGCTTCTCCTCACCATAGCCGCTGCGAGTGATCATCAGTGTCTGCCTTTGCCAGGCAGAAGCACAAGCATGGTGGCAGTTCCTTTGAAATCTGTGCCGCCCACTTGATGCCCGGTTTCATGCCAGTCCAGGCTTTCACCATGTCGCTCAGCTCGTAGTACCGGGGCTCCTCAAAGTGGTCCTCCGAAACATGCGGAGGAGTATGCGGATACACGTGTTAAGTTTGGTTCGATCCTGAACCCTCGGTCCTCCAAGCCCTCCACGATCTTCATGCACCTCCACTTGCTTTGCAAAACGGTTGAGATGGCCTTGCAGTGGAACAACCTGGCGAGCTGCTCGTGCAAAAGCACTCAGGTGAAATTTCGGGTCAAAGTAAAGGAGCTCATTTCCAATCATCCCATGACGGCCTAGGAAGGAACTTCTTCTTGCGGTCGTCCAGGCCGTGCCGATTCTTGTTGGTGGCCGACTTGCCCCAAAGCGGGCTGTATCTCGGCGAACAGCACAATGCTCAACATTGCAGCTGGCAAAGGCGCAAAGACCGGCCCACGTGCTACAAGCTCGGGTTTGCGCATTGTGCCCATGCGGGCTTTGCCTACGCCTTTGTTCTTCCAAAGCTTCTTTCCTGGTCGCCACGAGGTTCACAACCCTAAGCACTCTGGCCCCACACGCTACACCTCATCTTTGTCGAATTTGAATTCCCAGCCTTTCTTCATGTCGCTTCGACGCTTGATGAATGCCGTAAACGGCAGCTGCTGGTACTTGTAGATCGTGTGCGCCTGATGTGACTCTGGCACAAGAAGACGCAACTGTTTTCAGTCTCCGCCTGGTGGACGCAGTAGTTGGCCGTTTCTCGGCTAAACGTTCGAAGCTGCAGCTCCTCCTCGCCTTAGCCATTCCCAGGTCTTGCGATCTGGAATAAAGCTGTGGTCACTTCTGAAAACCTTCTGGGAGGCGCTTGTAAGGCCAGCACCGATCTTCTGGCCAGCCAGATTGACGACCTGCCACAGGAGAAATTGCAGAGCTCGTTTCCCAGGCTTGCAGCTTCTGCGGCTGCTGAGCTCACAACGGGGATTCGCTTCTGCGTTGGCACGGCGCGCCGAACCGTGAGCCAAGCCTCAGCCCCAACAAGCCCCACTTTTTTGTGTCCTCCGTCTCTCAAATCACCTTGTGCAATAGCAAGGTCTGTGAATCTGCTCCTGGCCGTGACAATGCCAGCTCTCGGTTGCTAACGCGAGCAGTGACAGCTATTGCCGACGCACATAGAGCAGCCGCGCACGGAACAAAGCCGTCACGGCGCAGCCTGGAGCTGCTTCAGCACCGCAATAGTCGCAGAACTTCCAGACCAGACCGCTCAGGACCGGTCGCTAGGCTTCCTGTCATGCTCAGCTACACTTAGGCGCGTTGTGCCTGGGGCCGCTCTGCGAAGGTCGGCCAGAGCTCAATCGCTCAAGGGAAGGCGACAAGCCTGGCACAGGAGACCGACACTTGTTGGCTCAACATGGTTACGGTTCTTTGCGTGGGCGCTCTCAGCTTGCTTCTTCTCGTGCATCGGGTCTTCATAACAAACCCTGAACCACAAATCATAGCCTCCTGACACGTCACGCTTACTCATCTGTCCCACACTGGGTCTCAGGGCTGACGGGAAGTTCCAACCCTCTGTTCCACCGGGCCACACCGGATCGTGGGAATCATGCATCACGTAGCTGCTTCACGCTGCGGAATACAAGAAGCTCTGAATGTGTATTCAGATGTATGACAAGACGCAGCGACTATGGGGTGGGGGGGACGAGACTTCCGTCGATTGAGAGTTGAAGCAAAATGACATCATCGGAAAGCAAATTCATGTTCCCAGGCTACCAACAAAAAAATAGCTGCATGGCTATTAGCCTCATGGAGTTAAAAGCACGCCGACGGCTGCACCTCCTATCGGCTGAACGAAGCCAAAGGCACCACAGGCCTTGCAGCAAACTCAGCACGGGCTCACAGTCAAGTCGGGGTGCTACCGGGAGCGGCAGCTGCCGCCCGTTTTGCCCCGTTTTGCTTGGGTCCGCACACCAGCTATCGCTGCCAAGCAAGCGGCGAACAGGAGGCGCCGCGCCTGCACAGCAACTCCAAAAAAGGAAAAAGACGTGAACATGTCGGAACCTGGACTCAGAAATTGCCTCCGAGGGATAACAAGAGCACTAACCTTGCTGCGGCCTCGATCTTTCGTGATAGCATGGTCCCTGTCTAAGAGAAACCGGCTTGAGCCAGATTTCCTGCAGTGACGTACATCGACTGATTGGTTAACTGAGCGCCAGGTACGTTGTGGCTAGACATTTTCGGCACGCGCACGTCACGTGCGCTTCAGTTCCCAAAATTGGCAAAAAAAAGGCTAATTAGAAGAGGTCCGGAAGCAGAGCCCTCGGGAGACACTCACACCTCACCTCACAAGTTCTGTACGTTAAGTCAATAGACTGGTAAGCAACAAGTCCACTACTCACTACTCATAGCAGCCCGCTCACAACCCCGTGTCAGCAACCGGGCAGACGCCGGGAAGCAGCGGGCTGACTGAACGTCGATGCTGTATCTTCTGGGTGCAGGGTTTCCCAGAGTGTATCTGCCTCTTAGACTAAAATAATGACCCTCTTTGCGAGGGGGGTCCTAGATGAAGCGGGACAGCGGAAATCAGCGGATTTGGAAGGCGACGGCAAGCTGAACTGGTCCGTTTCTCTTTTTTTGATCGTGACATTAAGGCTTACGGCCTGCGCTGCGTGTCCCGCTTCATCCTTCACGACCTATTACATCCCAAAGGCAAGCCGTTGGGCCTTTGGAGGTGTCGTGACATAATTTATCTCCACTGCCACGACACCTCTACATCGTCCTCCTCCAAGTCTGCCCAGCTTACCCGGGCCCGGGCTGGTTGTCCGCCGGCTGCAGGCATGTGCAGAGCCTCCTCCTCTTCCTGGAGTCAATCGCATGCTGGAGAAGTCATCCAACACTTGCCGAGTTTCCCTCCCTGTGCCGTTGAGCCTTCTCTACCAAATCAGCCCAGGACATGCGGCCGCGGCTGTGGGCCTGAGCCTTGGGTTGCGGCGACCTGGGCCTCATCGAAGGCGGAGCAGGCGTTTCGAAGCAGCTTAGTGCTGGTGAACTTGCCGAGCTGGCCACGGAGGAGTCACCTGACCCACGAGACACCGCCAAACACTTCAGCACAAGGCGGAGAACAGCTTCTGCTTGGGCACTTTGAAGCAATGAAGATTTGCAAGGCCAAGTGACGAATGGACCTTGGAGATGGACTGAAGTCGTCCCGTCGCTGAGGGCAGCTGTCGAAGACCCAATCGGGAAGACCAAGGCTACTCCCCGAGTCGACACCTGAGTGGATGGAAGGGTCGACATATAACATCATGTACTGACAGAAAAGCTTTTGTTGAGCAATTGTTGAGCAATGCGCCAGCACAGGACAACATCCCTGCTACTTGTAGCTCAGGAACATGACGGCGAATGCCCAGGCCTCCCTGTCAAGGGCTCATCAAAAGGAGCGACACCTTCATCGCCCTCTGCCATTTCCATCCAGAACTTTCGGTCTTCGGGCTTCCAAAACCCTGGCAAACCCGAGACCTCCTGCGCATGAGGTCTCGGGTTTGCCAGGGTTTTGGAAGCCCGAAGACCGAAAGAAGAAATCTACGCGTGTCCGCTCTCGGCAGCAGGAGAAGAGTGCTCGGTCTCGAAGAAGGCATCAAAGATGGTATGCTCCAGATGTGGATTCAGCTGTCGGACATGGAAAGATGCTAAGCACTGTCCCTGTTGCACCGTTAGCACAGACTTCACCATTGCAGCCATCGCTGCACCACCCTCCAAGTGGCCGATGTTCGTCTTCGCTTCCCGGATGGCGCGCGAGATGATCTCCTCCTGCCCGGGCCCGTTGGGAGCCGTCAGGCTCGCGCTGCGCCCGTCTTGGCCAACTTGTGAGGCCCGGAAGATCGTAGATGCCTGCTCGTGGTTTCCATACTTCAGGATCATGCCTGAGCTATGGAGACACAGAAGTTTCTGAGACAGGAGCAAGACGAGTCCACCCCACCTGAGGTGCCCTCACTGTATCCGTTGGCGGTGGAGTCGAAAGTGAAGCAGCGGCTCAGTGGCGAGGTCATGTGCCCCCTGAGTCGTCGGGACGGCAGCGACGCTTCATGCTGACAAGCATTGACAAGCAGAAATGCAAAGGAACCGAAAGCAACTGGGGCCGGGACAGTGCACAGCCCACCCAAGGGCCCGGGGACAGGCAGAGGTGGGTGCCGGTGGCCGCATGAAAGTCCAAGACGTCCCAGACGCCGTCCAGCAACAGCCTACAGCTTTGCAACGCCACACAGCTGGCTACAAGCTCGAAATGCCGAGTCAGACCGAGCCACTGCTTTGCGGGGTGCGTCGCCATCAGGGAAGCGGAGCAGGCCTTAGAAGGGCAAAGTTGTGGGGGTATTTTTTTTCTGAGCTCCCCGAGACCCACGCGGTGTCGCAGATGTAGTTCGGGCCTTTCAGGTTGAAGACGAAGCTGAAGCGGTTGGCGATGATCGCCAGTGCGTTGTTGCCACCGGTCATTGCCCCCAAGGTTGGGAAGTCCGCTTTGTCCACGCCCACAGACACGCCCACATGGGGCGACCGCTTGTTGGACACCTCCGAAAGTGCAGGCATCTGCCCGTCACTGCCCGCCCGCCCTCCTCTTCTAAGTCTTATATACCAAGAAGTGCCAAGAAGAGATCGAGATTGCAGGTAAAGATAACGATGCAGAAAGAGACAAAGAGAGACCATCTATTTCACATCCCACCCGGGCCCACTCTACAAGTACTACGAATAGGTCACGCAAGCGAATGCAATCTTGCTCGTTAGAAATAACATAG